CTTTTGAGCTGCTGACACATCTGGAGGGGCGGCAGGCTTATGAAGAGTGTCCACTTTGCCGGGTGTACGCTACTACTTGGCCGGTGGGGGAGGGGTACATGTCAGCTCAGGGGTTAGGTTCTTTAATGTGTTTTGCGCAGCTGGCAAGGGCCATCTCCCCGCTGCTATTCTTTAAGGTTGTGGAGAGATGCTGGAATGCGTCCAGTCGGGCTGCTGCTGTTTTAGTCCTTTTCTTTGGCGGCTTCAGTTTGTGCGTAAGTGGTGCTAATGGTAGACACTAATTCATGTCTTTGACATATCAGCCAAGACCCTGACGTTGTCAGTCGTTACCCTGAAATTGTCAGTCAAAACCCTGACATTGTTCGTCACGACTCCGACATCGGGAGCGTCAACAGGCCGTCAGGCTGGTGCTCGCACCGGAGCCGCGCGGGGCGCGTACCCGCCGCTCTCGCTCAGACCCCACCGTCACGTCACCGTCACCGTCACCGTCACGTCACGTGTCAAGCATCACGCCGTGGCGGGCAGGTGTGCCCCGGGCCGGACGGCGTCATCTACTTCGGCGACGACGTGCGTGGCCACGTGATCTCGCACAACTTCAGCCTGCGGGACGTGTACGCCCGCGGTGCGCAGAGGAGGTACGGAGGGGGACGGTTGGCGCGGGCGGGCTGGGGGGCGCCGGCTGGCGGATCGGTGCGGACCGATGTGGACCGCTGCTGTCGGCCGTAGTGTTAGAGGGCTGGAGGCCCGCTGGAGACGTCATGGTTCAAAGGAGTCAGTGCTGCTTTTCCGGATGTGTTTGTCGTGCGTCGTTGCGTGCATTTCTTTAACGTTACATTGGTATCAAGAACGGCTTCTGTTGTGGCTTTGGGAAGAAATCAGAAGCGCGACCTCTGATGTGCGCTCTGCATATGAGAAAGAAGGAGCAGAACGTAACCAGTCCTGTTCCCGTTCAACACAGCATTACGGTCCCAGCCTTCTGGCTAATAGTTGATAGATCTTTATGAAATTGGTGGCATTTATTTTTTTGGTGTCATTGATGCAACCGTCAGTACATTTACATTTAGTACAACAGTAGTACCGTCAGGACAACAACATTTATTGGTGTCATTGATGCATCCGTCCGTACTATTGCGGCAGAGGAACGTTTTTGTTGTTTCTGAGTTATGCATGTAGCATGATTTAATCCTACGCTAGCTTCCGTTGTGCCCTCCCCATAATTTTACAGTGTCTTCCTCACAGTGCGGTGAGATTGCTCCCACTCCCTGCAATGCTTCGATGTGCCCTTTTCACTCCCTTCGTATCGTTCTGCGGGCCGTATGTTTTTTTTTTTTGGAGATAAACAGGCGCTGCTGCTCGGGATCGTCAGCGGGTGGATTTCCCCCCATCGATTGCCCCCCCCCCCCCCCTCTCCGCCGTCGTCACTGGCCGCTCCCGACGCAGATACAGCATCGTGGTGCTGTCCTCCGATAAGCACGCCCTGCTTCGCAATTGGAGCTTCTACTGCCAGCAGCTGAAGCAGATCGGTCTGGATCTGCAGGCCAACGCCAACAGGGTGAGCACCGGGGAGGTGTGGGGGGGGAAGGGGGGGGGGCTGAATGGCTACTAATATTGACGATTAATTTTGCTAATATTAATGACGTACTGATACGGCTTAGTAATATTACGGCTTACTAATATTACGGCTTGCTGATAGTAATCACCGTTTTGAAACAAGACGGAACGGTGTGTTCAACGTGGTACTAAGCGCAAGGACAATGATGATCGCGATGTTATTTGTCGATGCACGTGACTGCTCAAGTGATCTGTATCGTCACAACAGGTATAAAGGATAGAGCAGGGGAAGTTTCCCAGGGCGAGAACTGAATCTTAAAAATACGGTCTTAAGACGGTGGAGTGATTCTGTTTGGCTGTACAATGCTCTTGAATTCCAGAATGTGTCCGCTATATTAGCCTTTGTCCATCGGGCACACGCGCGCACGCATGTACGCACGCACGTCACACGACCGCGTGTGGTCGTGATGCCTACTGATCAAATACATGCGCTTCAAATCCCGGTCGCTGCAGTGGCTATCTAACCCGCAGCTGTAGTGCCTGACTGCACTGCGTCCGGCCTGCCCCCCCCCCCCCCCCCCCCGGCCCAGCGGCACCGGGCCAGCGCCTGACCCTGTGGGCGCCTCAGGTGTTTGACGTGGAGGAGGAGCCGATGGCGATGGAGGACCTGCCGCTGCTGGTGGGCCGGCCTCGGCCTCGCCGGCGCTCCTCGCAGGGCATCAAGACCAGCCGCGCCCTGGCGGAGATCACAGACACGCCCGCCGTCTACATGGGGTGAGGTGCTGGCTGCGTACTGGGTGTCTGTGTGAGGTGAGATGTGTGTGTGCGTGGGGTAAGGGGCCGAGCGGCTGGCTGTGTGGGGCCAGGTACCGGGCGTTAGCGTGAGTTGAGGTACCAGGTGAGAGGTGAGGTACCGGACGTCCCTGCCTGAGTTGAGGTACAGGTGGCGTGGTGGGGGTGCTGGACCGGTACATGAGGGAAGGTGTGTGGCCTCTGTATGGGGTCATACAGCGGACGTACATAAGGTAAAGCACCGGGCGTCCACGATCCTTACGGTGTGGTGTGGAAAGGGGAACAGTGTAGACGCCCGGCAAGCTGAAACAAATATCCGCACGTAAAGGATGGAGTGGATTCCGGGTGTTTCCGATTTCCAGGTCCTCGAGAAAGGCACTACATTCCCATGGTGTTTGAAATGCGTGATCAACAGCTAAGGGCGTGTTAGCAGCAGCAGCACTTCGTAGGACGCCTTGGATCGTCTCTGATTATTGCCGACTCTGCTCCCGCAGTCTACACCAGCTGTTTACCTTCGTGCTGCACTCAGGAGAAAATCGCTTCGTCCACCATGGGGGAGGCCTGGGTCCGCCCATCATCTCGCAAACTCCCGTCCAGCCTCCCCTCGTCACCGCAAGTGAGCATGTCTCGGCAGGCCAATCGTTACACCGCTCCGGAGTGTTTAAAGGAATGTGTGACAAAGCTGACCAACATTGATATCTGCGAACGCTAAAATTACGCTGCTTCATCGCTGCGTCGGCGTGATCGCCGCCGTCCATACGGCATCATGCTGCCCGCCTGTGCGTGGTCTCGGGCGCCGGATAACTGTGTCATGTATTGAAGAGCAGTAGACACCTCACGTTGCGTCCTGTGCGATGCTCCTTCAGGCAGCCCCGCGGGTTGTTGCGACATGTCTATCATGATCCGGGCCCGTGTGGTAACCCGCCCGCGGCGGTCTTCCCTACCCTTTACAGCGGCGCCAGTAGTTGCTGACTATCACTGGTACGTGGCGGCAGGCATTCTGGCATCGCTGATCTGTTCTTACCTGCAGCCTTAGGCTTTACTCGCTGGTCTGTTGTCGTAACTCTGATCTTCGCTGTTGCCCATCCCTCGACGGTCTGCATTGCTCTGCTAGCCCCTTGCCAGACGTGTTGCCCCTCCCCCTCTTCCCATCAAGCGGATGACCCCTCCCCGCTGCCCAATATATGACCTTCCCCACTGGCGTGCTGTTGTTTCCCTAACGCCCCCCCCCCCCCCCCCCACGATCCGACTGCCGCACGTCGAGCCTCACCCACTGTTTCGATAGATTTCCTCTAGCCTTCCCCTCTCTTCAGCTGTCCCACTTCCAACCGTCCCCACTGTCCCACCTTCAGCCGGCTCCTCGGTCCAACCCACAGCCTGCCCTGCTGCCCCTACGTCTAGCCTTTTCTAACCCTCGCCGGCGCTTGGCCACCTTCTAACCGGCCACTGCCGGCAGCGCCGTCCGGCCTGCTCGGACCGCGGCTGCGCCAGTTTCGGGCCGAGCTGGAGCCGGACAACTTCCGTGACGTCATCAGCCATGTGCTCGTCGGCCACCAGCTGGTGCTGCGCGGCCGCGAGAATGACGTCACGGCGCTGATCGAGGCGTTCAAGGTGGGCCGACGTTCAGAGTCTGCACGTGTGGACGACAGGTCAGGGTTAGTCCGTCTGAGACGCGATGCCTGCGCGCCATTGCCAGCGCGCCTCTGCATCAGCGAAGACGGATGTTCTCGACGTCAAGGACGCACGCTGTAGACTACAAGCTGACCAACGTGTGCCGGAACGCCTCCAAACTGAGCGCGAGGGCGCGTGCGTTCCGTCGGCAGAGATCGATGTCGTGGGCTCTGTGCATTAGTTCCTCCCAGCAACGTTCCGTGCGGCGACAGTAGCATGTGACGCGGCGGCACCAGTCCGCCGTGTCCATCTGACAGTGCGGCGCGGCTCGGGAGCTCTGCACCTTGCGTCTGGCGGAGTGAAGCGTAGTGTTTGCCTTGCGTCGGTGTGGGCATTCCGCGCCGCAGTAGCAGTGGGATGGCGCGCGCCAAACAGCGGTAGCAGCGGTATGGCGCGCGCCAAGCAGCGGTAGCAGCGGTATGGCGCGCCAAGCAGCGGTAGCAGCGCACCGCGCTGCGGTGGTAGTATTTCGCTGCATGCCATGCGGCATTTCATACCACGATAGAGCCACACGATGCAGCTGCGTCGCCGGCAGTAGTGTAGTTTCCTATGCAGTTGGGTGGGCTCCACCCGCGGACTTGGGCTCCAGCCCCCATCTTTGAGAGGGAAGTGGGCCAAATCCGCTGAGAGCCCCGTTTTTTGTGTTGCAAGTTTCGGGGTAGGTTTCGCCATTTTCGTTGATCAGCCACCCAACTCGTTTTGTGAATTTACGCCCCTGATCGCCGCGCTGCGCCGCCTTATAATCACCCGTGCCGCGTCACCAGAAGCTCCTCCGACCGGCAGATCCTGCTGCCGGCCAGCTGCTACCTGCCGCTGCCGTTCAGCTGCACGTACCAGCTGCCGCACCGCTGCAACCTGCTGGGCGTGCCGGCGGCGGCGGAGCTGCCGGCGCTGCTGCCCAAGTCAGTGATCGTGGTGCGGCTGGCGGACGCCGGCGGCCGGCGGCGCGCGCAGCTGGAGGTGATGACGGCCCGGCCCGGGCCGCCGCCCAGCCTGCTGGCGCGGCTGGAGGCGGTGCTGGCCGACCCGCGCCTACCCGACGCCGTACTCGACCACAGGCTGGCGTCGCTGCGCGCCGACTGGAAGAGGTGGGAGCCGGGGCGAGGGCGGAGGGGGCACGGTAGGAGCAGGGTGGTAGTGTGGTCAGTCCTGCGTGACGAGGTGATTGGTGAGTTGGTGTGCTGGTTGAGTGGGCATTTGCCGTTCGGAAGGAGGGTCGGTTTCTTGGATGGTTGCTTGCTCCCTTGGTTGAGTAGGCGGCTGGTCATCTGGTTGCCTGGTCTGTTGTATGTTTGATACTTGGCTAGCGGCTCTCCGTGGCTGTCATCACGCCGATGACACTCTCCATGCTTGCCTCGCTGCCTCCCCGACAATGTCATACTTCCCGCGTCTATTCGCTGTGCGTACGTCGCACTTTGCCGGCCATTTGAGGGCAGTTTGCCCAGAGCCGTGTCGTCTGGCGCGACGGGCGCTAATTATGACTGTACGGGCGCCTCGGTGTTGGCCATCCCCGCCGCCAACACCGCTGACCCGCCACTGTCTCCCCGATCGGTCTGCGGCAGCAAGTCGGAGCAGCTGTTCGAGTACTGGAGTGGCGAGGGCGGCGACGGCGGTCGCACCCACGCGCAGACGCAGGCCTTCGTGGCCGCGCTCGGCTGCCAGCAGTGCGACCTGCCCCTGCTGCAGTTCTGGATGACCTCCAGCTGAGGGCGCTCCAGTGGAGAGGCTGCCCCAGCGGAGGAGCCGCTCCAGCGTAGGGGTTAACCTAGCGCAGGAGCCTCTCCAGGGGAGAGGCTGCCCAGCGGAGGAGCCGCTCCAGCGGAGAGGCTGCCCAGCGGAGGAGCCGCTCCAGCGGAGAGGCTGCCCAGCGGAGGAGCCGCTCCAGCGGAGAGGCTGCCCCAGCGGAGGAGCCGCTCCAGCGAAGAGGCTGCCCCAGCGGAGAAACCGTTCCAGCGGAGAGGCTGCCCCAGCGGAGGAACCGCTCCAGCGGAGAGGCTGCCCCAGCGGAGGAGCCGCTCCAGCGGAGAGGCTGCCCCAGCGGAGGAACCGCTCCAGCGGAGGGGTTAACCTGGCGCAGGAGCCTCCCCAGGGGAGAGGCTGCCTCAGCGGAGGAGCCTCTCCAGCGGAGAGGCTGCCCAGCGGAGGAGCCGCTCCAGTGGAGAGGCTGCCCCAGATAACGTCGGGGCGAAGGAGCCAACCCTGTAAGGGCCTGTCCCCGCCGTGGGACGGCAGGGACGTCAGCCGGTCTCTCGGACACGTGACCACTCTAGTCAGAGAGCCGGGGTCAGGACCCCGGCTGGTTACCGTTGCGGTGCCGGGAGCAGGGCTCGAATTAGCCGTAGACGCCGTCTTCCTGTGTGCAGCCGGTCAGGCTAACTGGCGGACGAGCGCCTTGCGTGCTGCGGGTGACGTTTCGCTGGCCGCGCGCGCCAGGGGCTCCCCTGAGCGCTGCCACCACGGCAGGAGGCCGCCTGCTGAGGTGGGCAGCTGCCATGCCTCTTTTATCGTTAGCGTGTGCCGTGAGTGGCCGCCGACGGATGTGGAGGGACGGTTTGCACTGTTAATGGAATGTATCAGGAAGCTTGGGCTGTCATATGTACCATTGTTACGCCAATCATTGTGTGCTGTATTTCAAAGATACGTATGATATGTTTGCGCTCCGTTATCACGATAAAAAAGGATTAGTGGACGAGGTATAACTGTCAAAGCCATTTTGCTTTTCTTATGCTTTCCTCATACATTTTAATGCCGTTTTATTTTCATAAGTAATGACGCAATAGAACTGACATTCACATATGCTACAGACATGCATCAAACACTCTCAAGCGGTCTACATAGGAAAAGTCACTTGCGGTCTACCGGCGGCCCAGCACCACCGCCCATCCCCCAAACGCGGTGCGCCACGCTGTTCACGATCCGGTCCCCCGCCCCTCCCAGGGGGTACCCTTGCCCCCCGTGGCGGCGGCGCAGCAGGCGCGAGAGCCGCGCCCTCTGGTGGCGGCAGACCGGCGCCTGCGCCAGGTTCGCCGCCTCCAGCGGGTCGACCGCGTGGTCGTACAGCTCGTCGGCCACCAGGTGGCGCCACAGCGGCCGCATCGTCGCCGGGTCGTAGCGCACCCACTCGGTGTAGCGGTAGCGCGCCGAGCGCGCCGAGAAGCCCATCACGGCCACGTCGCGCAGGCGGGGCTGGTCCGAGTCGGCGCGCGGCGTCACTGACGGCCGGGGGTACTGCGAGAAGGCGACGGCGGCCGCCGCCACCGGCGCGTCACAAGCCGCCACGACGTCGGCCGCCGGCGGCGGCTGCGGTTTGGTGGGGCGCGAAGCCAGCGGGCGGCGAGGCCGGCGGGGGAGGAGCGGCAGCAGCGAGCGCCCCTCGGTGCAGAGGTCGGGCTGCGGGCCGACGCGCGGACACGTGGGCACCGCCAGCCCCAGCGCCGCCGCCGCCAGCGTCGGCAGCACGTCCACCAGCTCCACCGGCGTGGACACGTGGACGGCGCCGCCCTCTACCGGCCGAGTCTGGAGCCGGTGGAGGGCGGAGACGCGGCGGAATCCGGCTAGCGAGCCGCTACGGCTCGGCAGGTGCAGCAGCAGCGGCGTCCGCGTGGCGTCCTCGGACGTGCTGTACTTGGCCCACTCGCCCCGTTCGCCGAGCGCCCAGCCTGACGACACGGGGGGGGGGGGGGGGGGGGAGGTCAGCAGGGAGGTAGAGACCCGTGCTCTGGTTTGAGATGTGTCTGACTTGTGGCACGCCCGTGTCGTCACCGGTGGTCCTCAGGCTAGAGTGGGGCAGTTGGCTTGAGAGCGATGAAGCGAAGTGAGAGATCGTGAAAGATCACTGTATTAAAAAATCACTACGGTGTTAGCAATCCGTCACCAGCCGTGTGCGGCAAATGCATGGGCGTCGTCGCCGTTGGGATGAAAGGGCTCAAACCACAGGAAATGTTCGAGCGGGATGAGACTTTTTTGCGTTTCACATGATTTTTTTTTAACTGTGTTCTCAGTAAGGCTGCCGTGAAACCGAAATAACCTGCATCGTGCGGCTACGCCCCGCATAAACATTGAACCATGCACAAACATAATACACAAGCATAAAAAACAAACGAGCAAGCATAAACGTCCGCAAGTATCGGACCGTCGGCACAAAAGCGCGCTCACAACGCTCGCTGATGGTACGCCCGCACAGTCACTGTCACTGCTCGCCCGCACAGCCACAACGCCAGCACAGTCACTGCTCATGCAACATTCAGCATTAGAGTTTGGACAGTATGACCGTGGTGAACTTGGGTCATCTGTGCCACGTGTGCGACGTGTTTCCCTGACCCAAATGTAGACTGACCTGTCTGGCTGGGGGCAGGACCGATCCGTCTGACCGGAAACAGGACTGACCAGCCTGACCGGAGGCGGGACTGGCCAGTCTGACCGGGGACAAAATGGGCCAGTCTGACCGAAGACAGGACTGACCAGTCTGATCGGAGACGGGACTGGCCAGTCTGACCGGGGACAAAATGGGCCAGTCTGACCGAAGACAGGACTGACCAGTCTGACCGGAGACGCGACTGACCAGTCTGACCGGAGACGCGACTGACCAGTCTGACCGGAGGCAAGACTGGTCAGTCTGACTGGAAACAGTACAGACCATTCTGCCCGCAGACAGGACTAGCTAGTCTGACCAGACACGCCACTAACCGTGGTCCCCGCAGAGCAGGATGACGGTGTTGTCGGCGTGGCCGGCCGTCGCCAACGCCTCCAGCAGCTGCCCCACTAGCTCGTCCACGTATGACACGGCGGCGTAGTAGGCCTGACGTACGAACCGGGCGAAGAACCCTGCCGGCCGGCACCAGGGCCTCGGTCAGGCGGGTGGGGAGGTCGCCTGACGGGGCGAAGAGACACGTGTGCTCAGGTCCCGAAGGCAGATCGTTGATTCAACGGGCTCCTGGTAGGTAGCGGTATCCTGATGTTTGTGTCTATACATTCAGGGCTTGAGTATGTGTAGACTCAAGACCGTTTGGAAGGAGGTGATCATGAAAGCACCGGTAAGCCACGCGCGGGCGATAAAACAGCCTGCGCACGTGGACATCCCATTCCGCTCATCCGTCACCGACTCACCTGGCATTGGTCCGTACGGGAAGCTTATGTTGAGCTGTCTGACGTCATCACGATGTCTGACGTCACTCCAGGGGTTCCAGGCGACCGGCGGCAGGCCGGCCGGGCGGGTGGGCTGCGCGGGCGGCGACACCGAGTCGATCGGGTACAGGTCTGTGGACAGACGGATGGTGTTCACTGGTGAGGCAGCCATTAACCTCCCAGACAGTCGGCTGTGTCGGGGTGAACAGCACAATATTTACAAGCAGGGTCTTTACTCCTGCCTTACTGGCGTAGAAAATGTGCAAATTTCGCAGCGCCTATTTTGGCGGGAGTGAACGGACGTTGGCTGCGCCGCACACGCAGCACACGCGGTTGTGACCAAAATTTGAATCGAAATGGACGCGCAAATGGCATGCAGTTGGCTCTGGGAACCCGGCGCGGATTCCAAGGGTCACAAGATACAGAGTTGTAACATTGGACCTCACTGGGCGTTAAGCCTAAATGCGGCTAACGCTGGGCTCAGCGCCCACCTACTTAAGTACTGCCAGGGCATCTTCAGTGGGATGTGCGGCTTGTGAAGTCCCACAGCCAGCATCCACGGCTCTGCCCGTCCGCTGCGATCCTGCAGCCATCTAGCGGCACGTTGCACAGTCTGAATGTCGGGCAGTGTCCGCTGCGGCTGAGCGCTGACGTCGACCGGGCAATAGAGGTTGGAGTGCGGTTTACCGTCTTCTCCGAGACAAACCGGCGCGTCCTGCACAGGTGAGGCTCTTTAGACGCATGACATGGCAAATAATCGAACTGGCTGGAAGCAAAGCGCAACGAAGTTTGCCCGTCCAGAACCTGGACTTGCTGGTGTTTGCATACCCATTATGAAGCCACGGCTGCAGTTTTTTTTTGCGGATGCTACATAATGATCTAAACCCAAAGCTGCACCAGGAGCAGTGTTCAAGAGTCCTTTTTCGCAGGCCCCAGAAGTGGCTTATGACACCATGACTTGCACCCAAGATGATTGCAGGGCCAGATGTACTTGTGGGGCAGTGCTTGGTCCACAAACACTTAAGGCGGCCAGAAAGCGGTCACAACCATCAAGTATCGCAATCACTATTCGGAAGTCCCCAGGCCAGGCTTCAGATTTTAAGAGGTATGCAACAACCAAGCCGCACATTCAGCAGGGCTCTCGGAACGCTAAGCTCCTGCTGTGGACACCGAAAGGCACTCAGACCGGAGCGACGAGGACTGCCGGTGAATCGGTCAGAGTCAGAGTCACTCAGAGTCAATGAAATGAGCAGAGGGCCGCCGGTCCAGCACGCCAAAAAGGGCGCTGACTCCAACGTCACGTGACACGATTATCACCAGCAACACTAGTCCTGCTTACGTACAGCCGAAACTTCCATGCGAGTCTGCAAACCTATTTTGCGATGCCCTAATCGAGCCGATTTGTCCACGGAGCACGTGTGCGCGTGACAGTGTATGCGTGTACGTGACGCACATGGATAAGTGACGATTGTCGGCGGACGGGGAGTGCGTGAGACTCAAGATGCGCACTCGCTGGTATTCCGTTTGGTTCGCAGCTATGCTCATGGAGGTGAGATTCGCACAGAATCGCGGGAAATGCTTTTAATCTTGGTTTGCATATCGGCATCCATCGGCGGCCTAGTCAGTGACTTAGCTGCGCGGAACAGCATAACTGCAGCCAAGACTGGGATTTGCACCCCTCTGCAGTGACTTTTCCGCCTCCCAGCGTTTGTCTCGACCTTTACAAAATGGAACATAACTCACTACGAAGTCGTTAATGCCATCTTTAAAACAAAGCAAAAGTCTAGGTTTGGAACAAGCGTGTCTTTTGGTTTTCCCAAGGAGTGAAGATCCGCTCCAGCCTGAAGTTACCATGGCAGCATATCAGTACATCTGACAAACAAAGCCAAAACACAGCTGCGGCTGTGTGGTCGGACGCCAACAAAAACCACCAGACCTCTAGCTATTTTGGCGACCGCGCGGGTTGTGACCCTCGCACCTTGTCGGCCTGGGACGACGGGTGGTACGGCGGCTCGGACCAGCTGTACGGCTGGTCGTCGCTGTAGTTGGACACGATGCCTGCAATAGGTGTACAACCAGTTAGGATGTCAGTGCGTGCAGCAGCTGTCGAGAGATGTTGGTCATAGCGGCGGGGATATAAATTAAAGGGGGGTTTGGTTCAGGGGGGTTTTGTCGTTTTGTCGTTTCTTTTATAAGAGTGGCGTCGTCTTTCAGCTAAATACATGAGAAATTCATGTGATGTGCATATCAAAAAGCATTTACTAAATATGCACTACATGCGATGAAACATCAATATCGGTGCTTTTGGTTGTCTCCGAAAAATTACTTTTTTTAGTTTTTCAAATGGTAGGGTCCACTGGCATTGGCATTTGCACGCGTAGATAAAAAACTGGCGGTAAACGTTATAGTTTTCGCAGAGCACGTTTGTGGAAAAGTGTGACATGCGCTCTGCTTGACATGGCGACCATTTAACAAGAGTGATTCAGAAAGGCATGCAATGGCCAGTATTGCATTTTAATCGGAGGCGACGATCCTTGCCTACACAGGCGAGCGAGTCTGGTTCACATGTTCATATCCTGCGCCAAATATGGTTTCACACTGAGAGGCAAGAACAGGCGCATTTTCAAAACATGATATCTTAAACTAGATTTGCCCAGGATTGAGACGTTTTAGTCTGTACGAAATATCCCTACACGGAAGTCAGAAGCAGACAAGTGCCCGGGTCCTGAAACGAATCATGGAATCCAGATAAACATTAGACTACTGACCAAAACCTCGGATCGTACCCCCGATCCCTTCTCGAGCCTATCCTCAGGATCCCACCCCCAATCCTCTCAGGCGGCTTCGACCGTGTCTGTGACACGTACCGGGGTGGAACACCTTGCCCATGGAGGCGGTGTAGTAGCCGCGCTCCCTGAAGAGCTGCGGTAGGCTGCTGAAGTTGCCGGCCGCCTGGCGCCAGTAACTGCCCGTGTCGAACAGGCGCGTGGTGTCCGGTCGGCGGGAGGTCAGCAGGGAGGTCCGGCTGGGACCGCACAGCGCCTGCTGCAGCGGTACGGCAGAGCACACTACAGGTCCGGCTGGGGCCACACAGCGCCTGCTACAGTGGTACGGCACAACACACTACAGGTCCGGCTGCGACCACACAGCGCCTGCTGCAGTGGTATGGCAGAGCACACTACAGGGTTGGCTGGGACCGCACAGCGCCTGCTGCAGCAGTACGGCAGAGCACACTACAGGTCCGGCTGGGGCCGCACAGCGCCTGCTGCGGCGGTACGGCACAACACACTACAGGTCCGGCTGGGACCGCACAGCGCCTGCTGCAGCGGTACGGCAGAGCACACTAAAGGTTCGGACGACATGACACTGGCCAAGGACCAGGCAGTAACGCTGGACAAAGTGTTTGCGCTGGCATTGAGATACGATGAATGTAGCGGGGCCGGGACCAAGAAAGAGCCAAGTGTCCAAAACTTCAGGCATCGACAGTCGAGAACCGGGCAACGTGTCTATTCTTGTTTTGCTTTTTTAACCAGGGACACGCTTTCCTGCTCCTCTCCGCTAATGTCTACGCCTGAGACGCCCCACCAGCGCCCGCAGCGCCCCACCAGCATCTGCACTCCGCCAGCGCCTTCAGTACCCCGCCAGCGTCTGCGGTACTCCGCCAGCACCTGCAGCACTACGTCAGCGCCTGCAGAACTCTGCCAGCGCCTGTAACACTCCGCCGGCGCCTATAATACTCCGCCAGCGCCTGCAGTACTCCGCCAGCGCCTGCGGCCCGCAGAACAGGCGCAGCTCTCGAAGTCCTCCTCTCACCTGGGCGTAGGCGCGGCTGAAGAGGGTGCTCTGGACAGCAAGCCGGTCCAGGTTGGGCGTCACCGCCAGGGGATCACCGTAGCAGCCGAGCGCCGGCCGCAGGTCGTCCACCAGCACCAGCAGCACGTTCAGCCGGCCGGCAGCGCCGACTGACAGGGCCAGCAATAGCAGCAGACTAGGGGCCCGCATTGTCTGCAGTTGGGGCCGTGGGCTGGGGTCATAAGCTGGGGTGATAGAGATAATCGTGCCTGAAGTGTTACTGAGGTCTACGCCCGTTTTTCGCGCCATTTTTTTAGTCACAACACGCGAATTGTCCCACCTGCCTTCAATTGCTGCTGCGGTGCTGGTTACGCCGTTGGCCAGGTCTGAGGCTGGGTTCCCTGGCGTAGAGGACTGGGAGGCTTCAGATCCAAGCAGCCAGGCCTGAAAGTCGATGCTGTCCTAAGAAGGCCACCGCACCATTTGATCACAGCGGCAGTGACGGGTGCAGTCAGATCTGAGCTGTCGATGCTGTCCTAGTCGGGCCACCGCACCATTTGATCACAGCGGCAGTGACGGGTGCAGTCAGATCTGAGCTGTCGATGCTGTCCTAGTCGGGCCACCGCACCGTTTGATCACGGCGGCAGTGACGGGTGCAGTCAGATCTGAGCTGTCGATGCTGTCCTAGTCGGGCCACTGCACCGTTTGATCACGGCAGCAGTGACGGGTGCAGTCAGATCTGAGCTGTCGATGCTGTCCTAGTCGGGCCACTGCACCGTTTGATCACGGCGGCAGTGACGGGTGCAGTCAGATCTGAGCTGTCGATGCTGTCCTAGTCGGGCCACTGCACCGTTTGATCACGGCGGCAGTGACGGGTGCAGTCAGATCTGAGCTGTCGATGCTGTCCTAGTCGGGCCACTGCACCGTGTGATTTCCAGGTCCTCGAAACGGCTAGGGAAGCGCTAATCATGCAGATGTCCGAGATGTATGTGTATGTGATGAGAATGTGCAACATTTTTGGATCTCGTATCCGTCTTTAAGTTCTGTGACAATGGTTTCAGGTTCAATGCATGCTTTGGAAAAGCCGACATTTTAGGAACTGTACCAGTGTGTGGCTTCCTATATCCTTTACAGTTTGACTGTATCTGTACTGGAATGGTCCGCTGAAAAATCCCCCGAACATGTTTTGTCCCCGAGCACCCAAGGAATCGTCAACCGTGTCGACACGATACTGGACGTTTCGGAGCCTTTGCCTGCCTTGGAGCCGTCAGACCGTCTCAGGGCTAGCTCGTGCCAGTGGGATGAGGCCGCCTTGCGATTGCTGACCATTGCGATAGGCATTAAGCGGAAAAGTCAACGAAAAGTATCAAAGAGAGCCGAAAACCTGCATATCGTTTGAGCAAAAGTTTGAGTTTAAAAACATTATACCAAAAACCTCACCTTTAACACTAAAATATGACGGCTGCGATCCTCCGGCAGGCCGTGGCAATAGCCACAGCTTGATGTTTTATTTCACCAGCTGCAAGCCGAGCAAATCGGTAAGCCCGTAACGGCCGTGACAGAAGGCGTCATTGAGTGTGGCTGTGGCTGTCTCAAACCGTGGTTGTCAGAGGCTGTGGCTGTGGCTGTCTCACACCGTGGTTGTCACAGACTGTGGCTGTGGCTGTATCACACTGCGGCTGTTAAAGACTGTGGCTGTGGCTGTCACGGACTGTGTCTGTGGCTGTCTCACACTGTGGCTGTCACGGACTGTGGCTGTAGCTGTCTCATACCGTGGCTGTCACAACTGTAGCTGTGGCTGTCTCACACTGTGGCTGTCACGGGCTGTGGCTGTGGCTGTCTCACACTGGCTGTCACTGACTGTGGCTGTGGCTGCCTCACAGTGTGGCTGTCACGGACTGAGGCTGTAGCTGTCTCACACTGCGGCTGTCACGGACTGTGGCTGTCACAGGCTGTGGCTGTAGCTGTCTCACACTGTGGTTGTCACGCACTGGACCACTGACTGTTGGTGAGATGGAGCCCATACGCTGTTAGGAACCGCAGTTGCCAGACGTGGTAGGTTTTGGTATCTTCAGCATTACAACCAGAACGCATTGAGAGACATATAGTAGTGCAGTTTCTAAACTGAGCAACCCTGTATCCCAACTCGCCAGAGTATCCGTCCTTTCGCATGAGCCGGGTCATAACCGTTGCCTCATCCCTGCAACCCCACACCTTAAACTAAAGCTCCCTATAAACTGAGAGCGAGGTCTCGCCATGCGTCTCGCCAGGCGGCGCTTTTGTTTACATTCGGGCGGGCAGAGGACCGTCGCTCGCGGTGCCAGTCTCGTGCGGACCCCATCCCCCTCGGCCGGCGGCGATCTTAGCTGGAGGACGTCCTGGCAGGCAGGCAGGAGTCACAGGTGACGTCGTTTGACCTCTGAGCTAAATCAAGTGGCTGGCTTTGCCGTGAGTGGACAGTGTCCATACCATACCCAGCGTCCACATCTATGCGCCATACCCGGTTATTTGGCATGATCTCTCGCTGCGGCAAGGGTTTTAAATGACGAGTGCGTAAGGTGTGTGTGGCCTGGGTGATGAAATATTGGATTCAGTGAACCTACATATATCGATTTGAATTTGTCTTTCCATTTCGCTTTGTACAGGTATGGCGACGGTCATTGCCACATCCCACATCTAATTTAGATAATAAGTTACGAGCCCGCTAATTCGGGAGCTTGCAGCGGTTTAGCCGTTCAGTGCGCAGGTTTCATACGGTCCTATTCCAACCGTGTATTTCTCTCAGAATCAGTTGTTGACGATCAGTTTTTGCAGTTGATTTTTAAACTCTGAAACGCTGTCTTCTTGACCGGTGTTTGACTACAGCCGTCGATGTCTCACCGCACCTCTCCCCTGCCCTCACAGCCCTAGGCATTCCACCGGGCACGTCACGTGACCCGCCTACCCGACATCGCGTGTACGCGTCACCCGTCACGTGCTGTCGCCGCCCCTACAAACCGCGCGCCCGCAGCGCCGCTGTGGCGGCCGCCGCGTACTGCGTCAGCTGGGCTCGCGTCGCCGCGCAGCCGCTGTAGGTGGCAGCACAGGCGGCGGCGCCGCTCTGCTGCCCGACGCTGACGGCGGCGGTGAACGCCGGCGGTGGCGGCGTGCCGTTGCTCTGGGGGCGCGCCAGCTTCAGTATACCGGCCTCGGTGGCCGACAGGGTCGAGGGGTCCGCGGCCAGCAGGCAGAGCAGGCGCTGGGCGCAGCCGGCACGATCCTGCAGAGCCGAGGCGTCGATGAGACCTGCGGCGGCACGGGCGGTGTTAGGCGGGCAGGGGCGCAGGGCTGCTGGGAGCTTCAAGGTCGAGGACGAGCGGGTTTGAGGCAAACCTTCACCGCTTCTTACCCGGCTCCGAAGCTTGCAACGAGCGGGTTGGTAGCGAAACCGTCCAGCCCTCGCATCGCATCTCACAGCGCGAGCCGGCCGTCGCTAGCGGCAAGTTGACCTACCATTGGTGGCGCCGTCTATCATCCACAACCGCGGAGACTTCAAGTGCAAAGGGTTCGGGCAGAGACCACTTGACCTTGCTGTCCGGCGAGTTGCAGTCTCGGCCACAGGCAACCATAACGACTCCAGCAACATGCATGTGAAGTTACATCTTCGCTGAACACTCGCTGAAGCACCCCGGCGTCTGCACCTCTCCATAAGACCAGTAGCCTGACGGCGGCCGTTAAGAGGCCGACTGACGGCGAACCACCCCTCATGGTGTGACAGGCTGGTTATCCCTCCGAGCTCGGTTGGCAGGTTACCCCTTATAGTGTGACAGGCAGGTTACCCCTCTGATACCGGTTGGCAGGTTGCCCCCCATAGTGTGGCAGTCAGTCTACCCGTTTGAGCCTGGTTGGAAGTTAACCCACATAGTGCGACAGACAGGTTACCCCTCGGAACCCGGTTGCCAGGTTACCCCTCATAGTGTGACAGGCGGGTTACCCCTCGGAGCCCGGTTGCCAGGTTACCCCTCATAGTGTGTCAGGCAGTCTACCCCTCTGGGCCCGGTTGGCAGGTTACCTCTCATAGTGTGACAGGCCCTTCTGAGCCCGGCTGGCAGGTTACCCCTCATAGCGTGACAGGCAGTCTACCCCTCTGAGCCCGGTTGGCACGTTCCCCCTCATGGTGCGACAGGCGAGTTACCCCTCTGAGCCCGGTTCGTCGCTCGCTCACCAGGAGCCGAGTCGAACTGGGCGGCGCGGCTAAAGCGGCGTTGGCCTCGGCGGTGTCCGAAAGACCTGAGGCTGGAGCCGAGCACCTGCCGACACAGGTCAGGTCAGGTCAGGTCAGGTCGGGTCGGCAGCCGGGGACCCCTTTAGTCTGCGGATCGTCTGAGGTCGGCCTGCTGAGCTGGTTTCCGAGGAGACAACACGCTGACGATAGGTGATACTGACGTGGTGAGAGGTGGGTTCAGTGTCTGTCTAGCGAGGCGTCCTTCTAAAAGGGGCACATTGGGTCACTTGGCATTAATCCACAAGCGGTTCGGGAGCCATGAATGCTGATACATCGAAATTGTTGACCTAATGACGATTTTATCCGTTTTCCATGAGCCAATCGTGCCTGATATCCTGGAAACCTGATGAGCCAAACACCCACCGTCGCGTTAAAAACTCGCATAAATGGCTGTGCTCAAACCAGTCGACGTTACAGCACGCATACGAAGGTCGGCTCAGGTCACAAAATCCCTGAACCTGTTGCCACCGAGCTCTCCAGTCAACATGTGCACAAGCCACGGCGCTGAGAGCAGCTGATCGACAGCTGTTCACGAAGCACTGCCGAGTCCTGATGGCACCCAAACGCTGGGAACTAACCGCAGTGCCCAGCCCCAGCGTGGCGATGCCCAGCGCAGCAAATCTCACCGACTTGGCGAAGATAGGCTCCGGCTGGACCAGCGCCGTCGCCTCCAGCAGGAGCAGCAGGGTCACCAGCAGCGCGACCGGCTTCATGACTGAATTGCGGTGTTTTCGCGGCTCACCCCACAGACTCCGCTCCGCTGCACGGGCCGACTGCCGTAGCCGCGTCGGCTGGCCGCTTATAAGGGGCGGCGCGGGCGTCACCTTCGGGAGGCGTGTCCGGCGTCACCGCAGGGCCTCCGCAACACGGCGAGGCCTGACCTTGGAGTCGCTACACGGCACGCCGGCGAGGTGGGGGGGGGGGGGGGGGATCGCTCGTCGACTTGCCAAGCGGGTGGGCAGGACCAGAAACGGGTTTTTATCTCATCCGTGGGATTTTGGTGTCACCATTGAGAGACCCCATCAGTTCTTCTTGTCAATATGTTCCAGCCCGATAAAAAATCCTGCTGTTTCGTTTGATCATTTGCGTCATCAATGGCATCCGCTTTCCCGAATGGCCACGATAGCGCGCAGCCACTGCAGGGTATCCGTCCAGATAAGAGATTCCTCCAGACCAAGCGCAGTGTGCTGTTCCCTGTTGGTTCACGTAAAGAATTCCTTAGTAGTCGCCGATATCCGCCTGCTTATCTCCACTGCTTCCTTATGACTCCTCATGACGTCACGCCACTGCGGGGTAAGCTGCGCCCGTTAGCCTTGGGCTGGTTAAAGTGACCCCCTGGCGGAGCCCAGCCCAAGCCCGAGCACATGCCCCAAGGAAAGGCTCTCGTGAGGGGGAATGCTTCATAGCGGGGGTTTCCCACGATCCGCCCCCCCGTGCCATTCAAGGTAGAAAGGGCTGTGGTCCCAGCTAAACCTAACCAAAAACGGTCACTCGAATAGCCAGACTGCAACAGGGAAGTCGACCGGGCGTAACTAACATGTAAAGCGCCTGCGCGAGTATGTCGTGTTCTGGAATCGTTATCCCCAAGCCGGATTCCGCCAGCGGCTTATGAGATTCCATCAACATGCACCGTTTAACTTCGAAAGCCAGTGTGCATATAGAGTGCCGCGTCGGCCTTACAGAACTAGCAAACCGGGGTGTCAAGCAAATGAAATTAAAAATGCGCGTCCTTAGACGAAAAACCGCCAGCGGCAAAATAACAGGGTGAAAAAGAGAAAAAAGTAGAGGTGGACTTGCCAGTGTCAGCCGCAAAAATGCCATGCATAGGAGGTACTCCACAACACGATTAACACGGCCCAAATCATGTTGATAAATGCTAGAAGTAGTAGGAGGCAATGTCTTTTTGTGGCTAATGCGAAGACTGTTTTTTTTTCTATCCCCAGACGATCTTCCAAAACTGCAGGGAGGATGGGACGTTAAGCCGGTTACGTGGGATTCCGGCACAAAATATTCACTTCTGCTTGCTTATGCTGTCCGGCGCAATGCAAGTAAAATGAATTTAAGGAAACATGCATGCACATAGTCGGGTATTTGCACGGCACGCAGGTAAACGCAGCAGTGTACCCAAGACACGAAAAGGACAAACAGCCAGCGTTCATCGCGCCAGTAGGGAATGCCCCGACACTGTCACAACAGGTGCCTTGGCTCGACTGGTTGGTCGCGACCTGAAAGACGGATAAAATTGGATTCGAGTTGAAATTTGAGAGAACATTTCCGCATCTTAGTCTGAATTCAATACGTCCTTGCTCATCAGTGTATGTGATAGGTTTAAGCGTTGAGTTTCATTTATATTGAAGCTTAGAGGGCAGAACTGCAACGTTGGATATAAATTCAACGCGACCTTGTTTATGTATCTTGTAATATCCTGGAAAAGTATCAACTAACAAAAAACCGGGATCCGATGCAAGGGGATAAGGGGTCATATGTTTTTGCCGAATGATGTGGTTTGTCAACGCTCCCCATGCAAAAAATTAGACAATCCTGCATTGTGTAAAGATTATAATGGGGCGAGGTGAGATTGGGATGCGGGTCATCAAGAAGTGTTTTGAGAGAAAAGGCAATGCGATGCGTTATTGTCTAGCTGAGGCTGACGAGATTGGCGATAGACTGCGTAGTCAAAAAGGGGGTGTGAAATCGTATACGGGACCGCACACCGATGGCTAATTGTAGTTCCACTGCCATGTAATAGCATGTACGATGTAGGTCCAATTGTAGGTCTACTCCACTATGACATAATGTGTGAGTCCGGCAATTCCAACGCGAAGACAAACTAGCACTATTCCTTTTTAAGGGTGAGTCTTGATGAGATGTTTGCCGGTATGATTGTGTGGCACAGAGCATAATGATATCGTCCTGCTAGGAACAGGAACTGTATTTCGTCGGGATAACCGCAGCCGACAAGACAAGCCGATCAGACAACTCTTGACAAGCCGATCAGAGGTCTCATTGCCGGAAATGTTTGCTTGGCAAGGTATCCAAAGTTTTTTTAGATGCCTTTCGGGGCGTAAGTGATGCAATGATGCTTCAGATTTCGGCAATGAGCGGGTGTGATATGCTGTGGAGTGATGAAGGCACGCAGAGCGGAAAGGGTCCGTGCAGATGATGGGTTGCTTGGTACTGGGGAGGTGATTGCTGCGAGTGATGTCTGACAGTGTCTGATTGCTGTGAGAATGGCCATCAGTTCAGCAGTGTAAACGGAGTGGGAGTCGGGAATGCGAAATGATCAGTTGCTGTTGGTGCGTATGGAAGGCGGCTCCAGTTTTGTCGCCCGGTCTGGAGCCATCCGTATAGTAAATACGACACTCTGTGGGCGTGTTTGAATTCCAAAAAGCAACGCAACGTTTCAGCGGAGGTTATCTTGTTTTTGGTTGGAAAGGACAAGATAGGAGACGTCAGTCGGCGGTTCATGCCAGTACGCTCTGCAACCTGGAGTTTACATAAACTGTAGCCTGGATTTCGCATGGTGCGGGTACCAGGGATGCCAAATAGATCCCGGATGCGCTGGACTCGCAGAGCTCTCGTGGGGTTTTCGCTACTGTGATGGTGAAAGATGTCTGTGAGATGTCACATCGGCAGGTGTGGCTGTTGAAGAGGTAGGGTTGAAGGGTTGAAGGTGGTAGGCACTTATACGTACACTACAACTGAGCAGCTGACATTCGCGGCGCTGGACGAGATTTGGGATATGTGCCTCTTCAAGAAGACTTGGTATGGGAAGGTCGCAAAGGTGCCCCTCTCCCGAGTGATTCTGAGGGGGTTGTTCTGGATGTTCTCGAGAGAGGGGACTTTTTGAAAGATCAAAAAGCATCAAAAACAGACGCATTATATTCCAAGGTTGGTAATATCAGGGTTATGTACGGGCGAAGCAGGCTTCGGTGATCTTACGCCCGCTGACGCATTTCATTCCGTTTGGCCGGTGGATGCATCGCTGAAAAATGTCTTTGAAGTGTGCGTTGAATGCAAGGTGGTGATCTAAAGTAAGTCTGGGCCATATAAATTCTGAGACTACAGGGGTTGTTTCGCTATCAACATTCAACAGAACTGCAGAGTTTGAGGGCATCGTTGACGTAAAAATATTACTGAAGCTGATTTGGTGGGGATATCTCCAGACTTCAACGGTCGCGCCACACGTTGAAGTGGTCTAGTGAACGTTGTAAAAGAAGGGTTGCACGATTGGCGCTAGGGTGTCAGAACCATGTTGCCAGATCGTCGACGCGCGAAGAATGCTAAATGCCAAAAGACACTTTGTAAATATTTGTGAGCATATCAGTGACCATTCTAAGAAACGAGTAGGTGAGATCAAACTACATTGGGGCAGCCCGTAGTCTTGGGCAGTCAACTCAGAATAAGTGTGATCACATCTGGGAATGAGCACTGAGAATGAGTGATTTGTAATATTTCAAAAAATAAAATTGCCATGGCGATCCAGAACGCCGATTTGATGCAGCTTAATAAAGGGAGTCGATATGCGCGCCTCGTCACAGGCTGCTTTTAAGCCTAAAAAGAGTGCAATGGTGGCATGTTTCTTTTGAAAAACCGCGCTGAATGCCGTCTATAAGTTGCATCCATATAAGTCATCCGTTTTCCGCAGTGCGCCGTCTTGGCCGGGAGCCGTTCTGGTGATGCGAGAGACGGTGATTGGATTCAAGACAGACCCTGATGCGACCATTCATCATATGCTCAAATAATTTAGATGCACAAGTGATCAAAGGAATAGGCCGAAAACTAGGAGAATCAAAAAGAAGCTTGTGAGCTGAGGAACAGGTACAGTAGTCCTAGAGCTCCAAGGAATAGGAAAAGTATCGTTCACCCAAGTATCGTTATAAGCTGAAATATTTGTAAGCCCAGTCCCGGACAAGTTTTTGAAGAAAGGACATGAAAATTTATCAGGGCCCAGGGGAGCATTTCCAACTACGCTGATAGCGAAATTTAGATAATAACGTGTGAAAGGTACATTATAGGCTGCGGTGCTGTCGGCGCAAGAGCTGCATGTGGAGAGGGTGTCGTTCAGAAATGCAGTGGTGTGCGTGGTATGCTGTTTTCTTTCCGGTGGTTCCAGTGGTGTCAACAGACGATAAAACACCGTCATGCCAAGGAGAGGGAGGGGAGACGCAGCATGCCGGTCGAGGCCGTTGTGTGAAGCCGGCGGGGACGCCCCCAGCGGTATCTCAGCAGCAGGCGCCATGGTTATTTGACCACCGCCAGTGGCACGTCCGCGGTTACGCCCCCAGTCTGGGGTTTCTCGAACGCCGCCTGTGTCACTCTGTCCCTACTATCGCCACCAATAGCCCACCTCGTCGCGGTCTTCCGGTTTGCCCGGGGTAGCTGGTGAAGAGCATAGAAGACTGCGCCGACGGGAGGCCCCGAGGGGTCGCATCTGAAGGGGAAACAGAGCTATAATAGAATGAACATTGAACGTATAACAGAAGGAACAAGAAGCAAGGCGCACAGTCCGGCTGAGTGACGACAAAAGGATTATTTACCCGTGCGAGGAAGTTCCTGGCACTCGGGCATTCCCCATCACATACAACAATTTTGAATTTGACTTAGGCCTAGAAAGCTGACATTTTTGACTGGTGCCTGCACGGGAGGGCATGAGGCTGCAGCGTGCCTCATGAGTTACCCGAACCACGCATGACCAAGCGTTTACAGTACGGTGTCGGTTCGTCTCATTGGATCTGGGTGGCGGTTAA